GTGTGTGTGTGTGTGTGTGAGAGAGAGAGAGAGAGAGAGAGACAGACAGACAGACAGACAGACAGACAGACAGAAGAAGAGAAGGGAAAGAGAGTGGAGGGGGGGTACAAGGGGGAGGGGGAGGGGGTGGGGGCTGCATTTATCCATACATGTCTTTAGTTTACGTATGTACCGAGGTATGTTTGTGATGAAGGCAAGTTGTTTCTTTCTATAACAAGCTTCTCCCTGTGTCCCTGCACAGATCGTGGCCACCGATGTCCGTGCATCCTCTCACAACCTCACGGCGTCTGTGGCGCAGATGACAGTCTGGGTCAAAGGTCAAACGACTCCGCCCCCAGCCCCAGAACCAATCGTCAGTATACCCTTGAGCACATCTGACATCATTGTCTTTATCGTTGGCATTCTACTCCTCCTGAACGTAGGCCTCACAATTTTTCTTTGTTACGTCCTAAGAGGAGGCAAAAGATCACCTTTGGGGGTTTTCGGTCGAAATTCGAAATATTATGTTTCCGAAAGAAGTAGAAATAAGGCTAACGCGGTGATGGGGGATGGCGTAAAGGGTCTGGAGGATGGTAAGAGCTCTGAAGAAGAGGAGACGCAACTTCCGATGCCGATGACAACACAGAAGGTAATCGTTGGGGAAGAAACAAACGCCCCCCAAGCTGGACCTGGACAAGAGACGGCAGTGAAACCCCTCAGAAACACTGTAGCATCCGCGGCCAACAGGAATAGATGTGACCTTACCGAATTAACAGAAAAGTTGAATTCGTACACTCTAAATAAAGAAAGCACTTCATTTGCAAAGAGCAATGACAATAACACAGGAATTAACAGCGTGGAGCAAAGCACTGAAGTAGGCCAGGAAAACAAAGCTTTTCTGCCAGAGCAGGGCGCTCTTCGAGGTGGGGAGGAGAGATCGGGTAATCGTATCAATATCCCAGAAAGCTCTAGGGCAGGACTTAATATTTCCACTGGTGTCACAAAACTGGAGTCGAAAGTAATCCAGCCTAGACCTGATAACAGTGAAAACTGCACAGTCCGTCCTTTTGAACAATCGGGAAAAAGTTATCAGCCGAATGGCAAGAGCGGGGCAAACAGCAACACTTCCAGTTTTTCAGAACGCTCTACGGGAGACGCTGTGCCTCTCATCAAACGACCAAAAAATAAAGAGTCTATCAGTCAACAACAACAACCGCAGCAAACTTCTGACAAAGGTGCATCGCCATCGACATCGAAAGACAAGTCGAATGTGACTAAAACTGATGGAGGGCTTACTCTCACTAAGACTCAAAACAAGGACGCCAAAAATAACTCGCAAGAGAAAGATGCTGCAACAGCCCCGAGCTCTGTGTCCACATACAACGCCATGCCTGTCTTGCCAGGGGGGAGAACACAGCTGACGCAAACTGGTGTGCCCCCCGTGGCCTTGGCATTGCCTTCCAGCTCAGGAACCAAGCCTAGAGATGCTTACGTCACCGTCACTAACCCTGTATATAATTTGCCCTCTACTCTGGGGAAAGAAAACGCACCCAAACCTGAAGTGAGCACTGGGTGGAAAGCTCCTGGGATCTTCCAGACCTTGTCGTCATCTCTCGAGCCGCCAACAAGCAGCCAAACCGGCGTGAAGGAAGCTACCACGGAGAAATCTTCTCAGATGCAGCCAGAAGCCACCCTCCCAAAAGACAGCCAAAAACAGAGCAGCGCACCAGTCAGGCCTACAACTCCTACTCCTGCACTGGAAGACAAAAAGCCGACTCGAGTAGTAGAAGAAACCCCAGGTCAAGACGCACGACATGTGACTTTTGTCTCCACCAGACCGACGAGTAGCAAAACAAACTTGCTGCAACAGCAGGATTACGTGAGCGCTGCCAAAGATCTTCTCAACGCTGTTAACTCAGCTAGCACTGGGAGTCTGAAGATGTGACGGGGCATAGTGTGGGGGTGGGTAGTTAGGTCCCATAAGGAAACATGGAACTTAACAAGAGGATTAGATTATGAAGAAGACCTTGGGCAAACTAAATCTACAAGAGAGAGAGAGAGAGAGAGAGAGAGAGAGAGAGAGAGAGAGAGAGAGAGAGAGAGGGGGGGGGGGGGGGGGGGGGAGAGAAAGGGAGAGAGAGAGTGGGGCGCGTACATAATAGTACATACTAGGTGAACAGTCCACAATTTAAGCGACGCCTTATAACATTTAACTCCATGTTTTTATACCTTCATTCAATTTTAAAACTTGTAGGGTAACATTGAACTTCGTACATGTATTTCTTTTGATATCGCGATTTTGAAGTCAGTTGGGTTCGTTTTGTTTTTGTTTTTTTGTTTTGTTTTTTTGAGTTGTTTTTTCTCGGGGGGGGG